GAAGAGACCCAAGAAGGGTAGTGCAAGAGTAAATGGTCAGGGATGACCAAATCAGAGGCAGTTTTAAGGCCTGCCCTTACAGTGGAAGGCCCATCATGGAGCCAGTCACTTGCTAGCTATTGCTCCCACCCCTGCTATCACAAGCACTCCGTAATGGTCAGGACTCAAAGAGGAGACAGCAATCATATAGTGATTCGAAGAGGGAAATTGGGTATTACCTATCAAGGGGTAAGCTTTTCCTGTTGGCTCAGATGGTAAAGCATCTGCTTAAAATGTGGGAGACCCGGGTTTGATCCCTGGGTTGGGAAGATCCCCTGGAGAAGGAAATGGCAACCCACTCCAGTACTCTTGCCTGGAAAATCCCATGGATGGAGGAGCCTGGTAGGTTACAGTCCAAATGGTTGGACACAACTGAGTGACTTCACTTTCACTTTTTTCACTTACAAGGGGTAAAGGAAATCTCTAATATATAGCCATTACCTACCTCGAGATCCAGGCAGAAGACAAAGGCAGGCAGAGATACGGAAGCACTCCCAACCCATCAGGAAGCACAGGCCTTTCCACGTCGTCTGCTCCAGGTGAGAGTTTTACGGGGCTTTTAAGCAGAGGATGACCAGGCTCCTCAGACATAGGAGGGCAAACTGCTGCCATTGCCAAGGGAGGCTCAGGGTGACCTGGGAGTTCAACATGGTCAATTTCATCTGGGTCCAAGCAGATGTTCCCTATTTCAAGTTTTGGGATCCCATTTCTTCCAGTTGAAGATGATGTCGACTTCACAAGAGTTGTTAACAAGGCTATAAATTCAACTAATTCAGTGCAGAGAGGTGCCAATCATATCAGGCTACCATGTACTGTAGAGCTAGCTAAGAGGAGCACTCTCAAATCAGGGCAAAGAGCTCCTTCTCATTGTAATGGTCCTCCAGCATCCTCTACTGATGAACCTTAAGTGAAGTCGCTCAGTTGTGTCCGACTCTTTGCGACCCCATGGACTGTAGCCTACAAGGCTCCTCCATCCATGTGATTTTCCAGGCAAGAGTACTGGAGTGGGTTGCCATCTCCTTCTCCAGGGGATCTTCCCAACCCAAGGATCGAATCTGGGTCTCCCACATTTCAGGCAGACGCTTTATGGTCTGAGCTACCAAGATGAACCTTAACACCAGGCCAAATGGCAAGAGAGAAACGTTCCAGTATTGCAAGCAAGGCAGAAAAGGATGGTGTTGGGGCTGAGAGTCAACACACTGGTGACTGGCAATGCACCCCTATCTTTATTGTCTCGCCCATGGTCTCCACTACCACTCACGAAAACAAAAACACAAATACTTCAAATAGAAATGAGGAAACCCAGGATGCCAACAGCCATCAAAAACATCTTTTGAAAGCTATATACTCATATCTATCTAGGGTGACCTACCATCTGTTTGCCCAGGGCTCTTTGCCCACCTTTAGCACTTAAAGTCCTGCATCCTAGGGGCACCCCTCAGTCCCAGAAAACCTGAAACATAGTTGTCACCCTACATGCATCTCAAAGGTTTTCAAACATTCTGTGCATCAGAATTACCTTGGGCACTTGGTAAAAATACAAGTGATTCTATTAAATCTGTTAAAGGTTATTTTGGGTGCAAGCAGACCATGGCGTGATTTTAAAGAACTTTTTTACTTGGAGGACAGTCCAGGACTTCTTTCCATTCTAAAACCATAATCATTGAAAAGAAAGAAATGGCATCCTTGGGAAGATACAGACAAGGTTCTTGAGCCAGGAGACAATGACAAGTTGTTTGTTGACAGTGCTAAGCCGCTTCAGTTGTGTCTGATTCTTTCCGACCCTATGGACTATAGCACACCAGGCTCCTCTCTGTGATTCTCCAGGCAAGAAAACTGGAGTGGTTTGCCATTTCCTTCTCCAGGGGATCTTCCTGACCCAGAGTCTGAACCCACATCTCTCATGTCTTTTATGGGTAAACTAAGCCACCTGAGACTTAGTTTATGGGAAGTGGGGAAAGATAAAAATTATAGTCTGGCCTTACCACTTGTCTCTCCTCTCAGTTTAAGGATAAATCCTTTCCCCTTCAATGTCACAAAGTATAACAAAGAGTAATGGATGCTGTGAAATTAGATTTGACAGTATCAACAATGTAGGGTCGTTGATGGGGTATACTAAGCTTCCTGCAGATTAAGCACTATATAACACAAAGTTTATTTTAAATCCTTCCACAGTATAATTTGCACAAGGTGTAGTTAATTTAGCACTACTTCTGCTATTTTCACACTGTAAGGTACACGATTTAACACAGCCACTTAAAGATGTTTCTCAAGAACTCAGACAGATTGAAGACACTTAACAGTTATTAAGTTTCTATTATGTTCCAGGCATCGTGCTAAATTCTGTAAACACATTATCTCATTTAATCCCCCCGACAGAAAAGCTATGCCCATTTCGTAAAAAAGCAGGGTACCCGACCTAGATTATACACCAAGTAAAAGGGTGTATATCCTGAAACTCAGATCTTTTCTGTCAAGCAAACTTTGTTAGCACTACAGACCCACGACGAATAGGGCGTGGTCCTATTCTCAGTGCTAGGATGAAGTCTGCACCGGCTGCAGGGAAAACAAACGAGGTGCATCTCAGACGCTCAGTGGAGTTCAGGATACAAGTCAAACCGTGTTGCTCAGCGCATCATGACCAGGTTCCCCAACACCTTTGCCCTTCCGCTGGGGCTCGGTCGTTCTTCCCGCACGGACCAAAGAAGCGAGAGCTTGGATATCTCTCGTCTTTGGTTAGGGGTGTGTGACTTCCGCCGAGGAAACGTCTTCATCCCCACCATCGCCGTAGCCCACCCTTAACGGGGCTCCACCGCACCCTTAATCTCTTGCTCCCCTCGAGCCCCGGCGCTGCCACCTTCACCTTCAGAGACCCGGCCCTTTCGGCTCGAGGGACGCCGAGCCGCCCGGAGACCCTGGCTGTGGCGCCGGAAGAGGCGGTGGCGGCGGCGCGTGACGTCAGAGGACGTACCTGCCGCCGTGGGCCTGTGGTTAGGAAGTGCTGGAGTCGGGGCCGGGGTCCTGAGACTCCCACAGACCGCCGGCGGCAGAGCAGACCGGAGGCAGCGCGGAGTTTGCTTTAGGAAGAGCGGCTTTGAAACATGCGCGCCCGGCTCCGCTAGCAGGTGCGGCCTCCCGGCCTGTCCTTGCGAGTTGTGGGGACCGTCCTGAGGTCCCTTTCCCGGCGACCCCCGGGGACTTCATTCAGGGCCTCCCAGGAAAAAAAGAGGGTCGAAAATAAAGTTGCTTAAGCCTTACTGATAGGACCAAACTCTTTCACCTTCGAGCATTGCTTAATTCTCACTCGAACCGTGAGAGAGGTATTGGCTCCTCTGTTGACAGAGGAGGAAACTGACTCGGAAAGGGGAATGTGTTTGCCTCAGGCCACGCCGCTGGGAAGGGTCAGGTTTGGATTCAAAGCGAGTCCTTTGGCTGCCGCCGGAGCGCTCGCTCTTGGCCCTGGAAGCGGGGTTCTCGTGCTTAATTCGGGTAAAGAATCTCAGCGTAGGAGGTAGGGGTTAGTTAACAGTTTGCGGGACTCCGCAGATTTAGTCTGGGATAGGGTTCTGGAATCTGTATTTTCAGCAGCCGTGCGGCGCACGTAACAGCACATCGCTCTCCTCTGAACACAGCAAGAATGATAGCTGGTTGTCGCGTTACGGTTTTAAGGCCTCAACTGAAAGAAAATACCATATGAGAGCTTTCTCTACAAATCATATGGGACTGGAGAGTAGGTATTTGGTTCTGCCGTTAACTCTGTGGGCAGATGGCAGCCTCTGTTCTCTTCCGCTTATTAAATAAGAAAACTTAACATGCTTGTCACTTGGGAGAATTTGTTAAACATACAGATTACCAGGACTAGCTTAGTTCTACTGAATCAGAAAGTCTGGGGGTGGGGCTGGGAATTTGTAGGCTAAACAAGCTATTAAAAAGAGCCTGTTAACCTTTGAGAACTTTTGAGTGAAGTTGTCTTGGACCTATGAAAGAATGGACTATAGGTCCATACGTGCCCCAACGTTCCCGTTTTGTTTGGTTTTGTTTTGTTTTGCGAATATGTATGCTCTGTATTTGATGTGGGCTAGACATTTATTCTTGCCTGCAGAATCCCAGAGACTGCGGAGCCTGGTGGGCTGCCGTCTATGGGGTCGCATAGAGTCGAATACGACTGAAGCGACTTAGCAGCAGCAGACTTTTATTGGCAAAAATGTCAAATTAATATTACTGGTCATTATTGTGTGGATTTTTTACTTAACTGAAGAGGAAGGTGGTAAAATTTGCACGTTAATTACCTGTTGATTTCCTGAGTGGCACTGGGTGAACCACATAACCTTGTGGCCCTTACATATCTGTTTTCATCATCGTCTACAATGCTTGTTTCAATGACAGACACCTGTATCCATCCAACATCAAATCTTCTGAGACAGGCCATAGGTGTTTTTAACAAGCTTCAAGGGAAGTTTAATGCAGCCTGTGATTATGGAGTATGGAAATGCCTTGGGAAACTGAGTTTTAGCCTATTTCTGAATCTTCATGTAGGTGGCATATTACAGTTTTGTTGTGTTGTCCTCTTGGGGGTCTAATAAGAGTAATGTGGTTTATGGTAGGTCCTGGTTTTAGAATTTCTTAGTATCTACTTTCTTGTGAATGAAATGAAAGTACTATGATAAGCTAAATCATTAAAAGATAAACATTGCAAAAGATAAAACATTAAAAGCAGCATCCCCAAGTAACTTAGTAGGCTCCTGATTGAGATGTTGTGATCTCAGAGTTGATTTTATGTAGAAGCACTGATTGCTATTGAGTCATCTCATCTACTTAAAAGGCTTATAATTATCCCTTGGTAGTCAAAGCTTTCACAAGCCCAACTTAAAGCATTTTTTTTTTCTTTAAACAGATACCATTGCATAGTTTGAATCAGGAATGAACTTTTCTGAAAGCTAAGAGTGGAAGTCTTGATCAGCATGGAGGACAAAAGACGGCGAGCCCGAGTGCAGGGAGCCTGGGCTGGTCCTGCTAAGAGCCAGGTCACTGCTCAGCCAGGCAAGTACCTGTGGGGATCTCCTGTTTTTGTGTGCGTGTGTGGACCAATATCGTTCTCTTTTAATTGATGTTAAGGTTTGAATCTTCCCTCTCTTTCTTCAGCTCCCACTGCTGAGAACCATCTCCAACAGAGACTTGGTAAAACCTGGATGAACAAGGAGCAGCATCTGTCTGACAGACAGTTTGTGTTCAAAGAACCCCAGGAGGTAAATTCTTGTTTCTTCTTCAACAGTAACAAAGATTTATTTATAAAAGCAACAGTCACATAGTAGACACTCAAATAAATAGTGATTGAATAAACTCACTAATAGAAAGAGAACTGAAAGGCCTATAGGAATAATGAAATGTGGAGTATCAGTTTCTTAGTATGTCTGAGGATTCTTTGTAGTCTTCTCCCAATTTATAGGCATATATAATTCCCTTTTTTTTTTTTTCGCCAAGGAGATGTACTGTGACTAGAGGTTATACCATGACCAGAGTTTGCATTAGTTATTTAAGTTCCAACAGTCCTAGACATGCTAGTGTATCAAATATCTCTGGAATTGGATTGAAATTCTAGCTACTGCAATGCTTAATCCCGCCAGGAAAAATGTAAGAAATGGGAAAGAGTTGCCATTTTTAATAAGATGGGAAAAAGGAGCTAAAAATCTGATATCTTGCTGTAGTAATGATTGTATAAATAATGATTAAAACCTCTTATTTCCTAGTATGTCTTCTGTTTTTAAAAATCCCTTGGAAAGAATGTTTTTTCCAGAGCTGCTTACTGCTAGGAAAACATATTCTAATTTTGTCATCCTTTACTGCCTACTAGTCACTCTGGAATAGTTCTAAGAAGAGTAGAACCAGAACTTTCTGGAATACTAAGAGCTTAGAATAAAACAGGGATAGTTTTAAACCTGCCTTAACTAGAAATGAGAGGATGCCGTAATTCTGCAAGGAAGCCTCCCTGAGGATTAGGAATCATTCAGAAATAATATCTGACTGTTTTTCTGCAGGTGGTACGCAGAGCCCCAGAGCCACGAGTGATTGAGTAAGTACACTGCTGCGCTCCTGGAGCCGTTGCCCACAGTGAAACGGAGAGCCCCGGATCTTTCCCTCGGCCTGGTTTTTCCATCTGGAAAAGATAGTGGCCAATTAGTGTCTTAAATTTGAAGCTGGGATATCCCTGTCTCAGATATCTTTAAACCTGGTCTTTTGAGAAGCCTTTCTGAATTTGCTGATGGTGTGGAAAATGCAGCCGGATATCTGTTCCTTAAACTCTGACTGGTGTAGATTTCTTGACCTTGTTTGACTAACATATATGCAGATAGCAGCTAAAATATCCCTTAGGTAAAGACACAGAGGAATTTTTTTTTCCTGAGTTATTGAAACATGGTTCTTCAAAAAACCTTTTAGTATCAATTTACTAGCAATGCTATGAAAACTGCTAGAAATCTAGAAGCTCTTACAGTTAATTTATTAAAACCACAGAATTGTTCCAGAGCAATTAAATGATTATAAACATTTATATTGATCTGTGTCTAAAAATATTCTTTTTCAAAATGATGAAAGATGCTTTGATTTCTCTTGTCCTGCTTCTCAGTTTCCATCTAATGCAGATAAATTATCTGTAGAAAGTGTGCTTTTATTTAAGCAAATTAGCATTAAATATGTGTGCTATTGTTCATGAACAAGTATTAAGCTGTTTGGCTGTTTGCAGGTCAAGCTGTATATCTTAGAAAAGTTTGAAACTAACACAAGTGTCATCATGTTTTCAGAGAGGGTGTGTAGTTGTGGCTTGGCTACTAGTCAGCTATGTAACTAGTCCTTAGGTAAGTTATTACTGTCTCTCTGGACTTTTGTTTCCTTGCCTGTAATATTAAGGGGTTGGACTATATAATCACTGAAGATCCAGTCTGGTAGCTCTAACAGTCTTTGTTTTGCAAATACAAATGTGATACTGCCTCCATCGATGGTAAAGAGAAGAAGCAAAGCCAAGAAACCTATTACAAGCTACAGATGGGACATTCAGGTTGAAAAAAGGGACAATTGTGAACTTCCAAGGCAGAGACAAAAAAATGATGGTACTCATTCCTACTTGACCATAGGGTTTGTTAATTCTGTTTATCTAAAATTAGCCATGCTAGATTTTTTTAATAGCCAGAAATACCCCTCACATTTGGAGTGAACCATTTTCTAAATATGGCCCAAAATATAGCACTGAAATATTAGCAGTCTAGGAAACTTTATAGCCAACTAATATTTTGAAATAATGCTATATGTTTATGATAATAACTCTGCCTACATTTTGGCTCCGAGTGGCTTACACATCCAGCTAAGAGCCCAGCTCAGAGGTTATGAACTGCTAAGTCACATGGAAAAGGATGATGTAAATACTATCCCTTTGTATTATTCTCCAATACTTATCTCTGAGAAGCGTCCGACACAGCTATCTGGACAGAAACACCTGTCCAGTCTGGATCACGTTTCTTACCGTGACGTGCCCTTCTGTAAAAGTTTTGTACTTTCGTACATTTGATTAAGTTCAATAAACTTTTTACTGTTCATCAGTTGTGTGCTAGGCACTGGGAGACAGAAGAGTCACCCATTCCAGCCCTTCAGCAGCTCATAGTCTAGTAAATGAAATAGACATGTGGTCCGACAAATTGTGGTCCTGACTATCTTCCAACAGCATACTTGTAGGTGAGGTGTAGTGGTCACAGAGGATGAGCTGTGTAACATGATTTGACTGGATTACAGGCCAGGAAAGGCTTAGACAAAGTGATACTGAGCTGAGATTTTTGAAGGATGAATTAGAATTTTCCACTGGACCAAAGCTGGGGGCGAGTTGGATTGGGGTGCTAGATAGTGGGGACGCATACCAGCATGTAGAAGAGCGTGGGATCAGACACATGGTGGTGTATTCAGGAGATTCCAAGCGGTAATTACCCTGGAGGATGCTGAGTCTGTGGGAACTATCAGGAGGCAGAGCTCTATCATGGGGACCTTCAACTTCTGTTCCGTGTATCTCTGTTCCAGGCTCCAAGGCACCCCTTTTTGTGTGATAGATTCCCACACCACATCAACCTGAATTATGGGTGAAATATGAAGGTATAGGACAAGAATTTACTTTATCCTGGCCTTTGCCTTCATGGCCCGATTTTGTCAGGATTCTATACCTAGGGCCATTAATGGTTACCACCATCTTACCCCTTATCTCAGTGATGGAAGAAGGTGGGGCTATACTTCCCTCATTGTGTACGCTCATCGGGAAGTGGTTTTGGTGAGCTGGGACTCTGTGCACTCCGAAGGACAACTCTTCCTTCCCCTACATGCAGTATATTGTTTAACTTGGTACTAATAAGTCTTTGTTTTCTTGGTTTCTTTAGTAAAGAGGGTGTGTATGAAATCAGCATGTCACCCACAGGCGTATCTAGGTAAGTGAATTCTCACTGGAAAGGGATTATAATTATCACTTAAAGTCTTTTGAAATATTTAGAATGTTTTCCTTGTAGGATGTTTACCTTGATTAAAGTAGGTAACATCTGCCCCTTAAATTCCTGGAGAGCAAATATGTGGTAATATCTCCTTTTATACTAGCTTCCAAACATTTTCATAACCTCTCTGTCAGGTATAGTATTAACTATTACTTCTCCAGTTTTTCATGTGAGGAAATGAGGTCCAGGGAGATTCAGTACTTTGTCCTAGTGTTACACAGTAGTTTAATATTAAAGTTGAGTCTGGTCTCAACTTTGTGCTGTGAGTGATGTATTATTGTTAGATTGTTGTAGTTGTTCAGTCACTAAGTCATGTCCGACTCTTTGGAACCCATGGACTGTAGCATGCCAGGCTCCTTTGTCCTCCGCTGTTTCCCGGAGTTTGCTCAAATTCATGTCTGTTGAACTAGTGATCCTATCTAACCATCTCATCCTCTTCCACCCGCTTCTCCCTTTGCCTTCAGTCTTTCCCAGCATCAGGGTTTTTTCCAACAAGTCAGCACTTCACATCATGTAGCCAAAGTATTGGAGCTTCAACTTCAGCATCAGTCCTCCCAATGAATATTCATTGGGATTGATTTCCGTTAGGATTGACTGGTTTGATCTCCTTTCAGTCCAAGGGGCTCTCAAGAGTCTTCTCCAGCATCACAATTTGAAAGCATCAGTTCTTTGGTGCTCAGCCTTCTTTGTGGTCCAACTCTCATATCTGTAATGAGTACTGGAAAAAATCATAGCTTTGACTGTATGGACCTTTGTCAGCAAAGTGATAGTCCTGCTTTCTAATATGCTGTTTAGGTTTGTCATCACTTTCCTTCCAAGGAGTCAGCGTTTTTTAATTTCATGGCTACAGTCACCACCCGCAGTGATTTTGGAGCCCAAGAAAAAAAAAATGTGTCACTGCTTCTGCTTTTTCCCCTTCTATTTGCCATGAAGTGATGAGACCAGATGCCATAATCTTAGCTTTTTAAATGTTGAGTTTCACGTCAGCTTTTTCATTCTCCTCTTTTACCTTCATCAAGAGGCTTTTCAATTCCTCTTCACTTTCTGCCAGTAGAGTGGTATCATCTGCATATCTGAGGTTTGATATTTCTCCTGGCAATCTTGATTCCAGCTTGAGCTTCATCCAGCCCAACATTTCACCTGATGTACCCTGCATATAAGTTAAATAAATAGGGTGACAATATAGAACCTTGATGTACTCCTTTCCCAATTCGAACCAGTTCATTGTTCCATGTCTGGTTCTAACTGTTGCTTCTTGACCCACATACAGCCTTCTCAGGAGATAGGTAAGGTGGTCTGGTACTCCCATCTGTTGAAGAATTTTCCACAGTTCATTGTGATCCACAGAGTCACAGGTTTTAGCATAGTCAATGAAGCAGAGGTAGATATTTTTCTTGAATTCCCTTGCTTTCTCCATGATCCAACGAATGTTGGCAGTTTGATCTCTGGTTCCTCTGCATCTTCGAGACCCAGCTTGTACATCTGGACGTTCTCAGTTCATGTATTGCTGAAGCCTACTTGAAAGACTTTGAATATAATGTTGTTATCATGTGAAATGAGTGCAATTGTATGATAGTTTGAACATTCTTTGACATTGCCCTTCTTTGGGATTGGAATGAAAACTGACCTTTTCCAGTCCTGTGGCCACTGCTGAGTTTTCCAAATTTTCTGACATATTGAGTGCAGCACTTTAACAGCATCATCTTTTAGGATTTTAAGTGGCTCAGCTGGAATTCCATCACCTCCACTAGCTTTGTTTGCAGTAATGCTTCCTAAGGCCCACTTGCCTTCACATTCCAGGATGTCTGGCTCTAGGTGAATGACCACACCGTCATGGTTATCCCAGTCATTAAGACCATTTTGTATAGTTCTGTGTTCTTGCCACCTCTTGTTAATATCTGCTGCTTCTGTTAGATCCTTCCTGTTTCTGTCCTTTCCTGTGCCCATCCTTGTATGAAATGTTCCCTTGGTATCTCCAGTTTTCTTGAAGAGATCTTTAGTCTTTCCCATTCTATTGTTTTCCTCTATTTCTTTGCCTTGTTCCTTGAAGAAGGCCTTCTTATCTCTCCTTGCTATTCTCTGGAACTCTGCATTCAGTTGGGCGTGTCTTCCCCTTTCTCCCTTGCCTTTCACTTCTCTTCTTTGCTCAGCTCTTTCTAAAACCTCCTCAGACAACCACTGCCTCCTTGCATTTCTTTTTCTTTGGAATGATTTTGGTCACCTCCTATATAGTGTCTGTAGCTCTGCAAGCACTCTGTCTACCAGATCTAATGCCTTGAATCTATTTGTCAATCATAAGGGGTTTGGCTTAGGTCATACATGAATGGTCTACTGGTTTTCATTACTTTCTTCAATTTAAGCCTGAATTTTGCAATACAGAGCTCGTGATCTGAGCCACAGTCAGCTCCAGGTCTTGTTTTTGCTAACTGTATAGAGTTTCTCCATCTTGAGCTGTAAAGAACATAATCTGATTTTAGTTTTGACCATCTGGTGAGATCCACATGTAAAGTCATCTTTTGGGTTGTTAGAAAAGGGTGTTTGCTATGACCAGCATGTTCTCTTGACAAAACTATTAGTGTTTGCCCTGCTTCATTTTGTACTCTTAAGGCCAAACTTGCCTGTTATTTTGGGTATTTTTTTGTGGGCTTCCCTGGTAGCTCAGCTGGTAAAGAATCTGCCTGCAATGCAGGAGACCCTGGTTTGATTCCTGGGTTGGGAAGATCCGCTGGAGAAGGGATAGGCTACCCACTCCAGCATTCATGGGCTTCCCTGGTGGCTCAGCTGGTAAAGAATCCCCCTGCAATGTGGGAGACCTCGGTTTGATCCCTGGGTTGGGAAGATCCCCTGGAGAAGGGAAAGACTGCTCGCTTCAGTATTCTGGCCTGGAGGATTCCATGGACTGTATAGTCCATAGGGTTACAAAAAGTTGGACACAACTGAGTGACTTTCACTTCCACTTTTGGGTATTTCTTGACTTCCTACATTTGCATTTCAATCCCCTATGTGAAAAGAACATCTGTTTTTTCGTGTGTTAGTTCTAGAACATGTTGTAGGTCTTCATAGAACCAGTCAACTTCAGCTTCTTCGGCATCAGTTGTTGGGGCATAGACTTGGATTACTGAATTGTTGAATGGTTTGCCTTGGAAATGAACCAAGGTCATTCTGTCATTTTTGAGGTTGCACTGCATTTTGGACTCTTCTGTTGACTGTGAGGGCTACTCCACTTCTAAAGGATTCTTGTCCTCAGTAGTAGATGTAATGGTCATCTGAACTAAATTCACCTGTTCATGGATTTAATTCATTTTAGTTCACTGATCTGTAAGATGTCAGTCTTACCATCTCCAGCTTGACCATGTCCAGTTCACCTTGATTCACGGATCTAACATTTCCAAGTTCCTATGAAATACCATTCTTTACAGCGTTGGACTTTACTTTCCCCACCAGACACATCCGCAACTGAGCGACATTTCTGCTTTTGCCCAACCACTTCATTCTCTCTGGAGCTATTAGTAATTGCCCTCTGCTCTTCTCCAGTAGCATATTAGATACCTTCAGACCTGGGTGGGGGGAGGGGGGCTCATCTTCCAGTGTCATATCTTTTTGTCTTTTCATATTGTTCATTGGGTTCTTGCAGCAAGAATACTGGGGTGAGTTGTTGTTTCCTCCCCCAGTGTACCGTGTTTTGTCACAACCCTTCACTATGTCCCATCTGTCTTGGGTGGCCTTGCGCAGCATGGCTTATCGCTTCATTGAGTTACACAAGCCCCTTCACCATGACAAGACTGATCCACGAAGAGGATTGTTTATTATTGCATGTATTATTATGTTAATCATGCATTATTATATATAATATATGTTAAGTTATATTGTATTGCTATATAAAGGTAGATTTCAGTAACATTAAAGCATATGTGATTTAGGATATGTTAGGCAGTAGTCATTGTTTCATTTTGAAAGCATCACCTTAGTGCATGTTATTGTAAATCAATGAGACGTTTAAATAAATCAGAATTTATATATCTAAGTGAATTGCCTGGAAAGAGTTGCTTTTGGATTTGGAAGTCTCTGTAGTTAGTCCAATGGCACTGCCATTGTTACAACCCTTTTCAGAAGTTCCGTTTTGAGAACTTCCCTTTTAGAGCAAGTTTAATAGTCACACAAGAAAACCAGTTGCATTCTTTTTGTTACATGTCATTGTTAACCTGGTATAGCTTCAGGTGAGCTTTGGCTCTTTCGAAATATCAACTCACAATGTGTGTAAGCCAAATTATTATGCTTTACACTGAAAACGTGTATAGTGCTGTGTGTCCCTTCTATCTTAGTAAAACTGGAAAAAAATAATAATTCAGATCAAACATTGTAAACTGTACAGCTGGTTAAAATTAATAAATTCCTTGTTAAACTGTTAAAAAAAAAAATCAAACGTACCTTCAGAGAGTGAAAATATATTACCAGCAAGGCTGTTGAAGAGCGTGTTCCATGTCTTTCAGAACATTTCTTAAGAAAGTTATCCAGTTTCAAGAGAACAGCATCGAAACATGTATATTATTTAGGGTGAAACAGATCACCAGCCCAGGTTGGGTGCATGAGACAAGTGCTTGGGCCTGGTGCACTGGGAAGACCCAGAGGGATCGGGTGGAGAGGGAGGTGGGAGGGGGGACCGGGATGGGGAATACATGTAAATCCATGGCTAATTCATTTCAATGTATGACAAAAACCACTGCAATGATGTAAAGTAATTAGCCTCCAACTAATAAAAATAAATGGAAAAAAAAAAGAAAAAATTAAAAAAAAAAATAGAAAGAAAAAAAAAAAAGAAAGTTATCCAGAAATCCAAATGCATTGTTAAAATGAAATAGTGCATTAGGGACATTGAAATCAAAACCACAACGATACCACTTTATATTCACTAGAATTTCCACAATCAAAAAGACAGTAATAAGTGTTGTTACAAGAGAGAATGTCGAAAAACTAGAGCCTTCCTGTGTTCCTGGTGGAATATAAAATAATACAATCCACTTAGAAAAAAGTTTGATGGTTTTGCATACCTTTATCATATGACCCAGCAGTTTCACGCTTAGGTATCTTATTCAAGAGAAATGAAAACATACATCCACACAAAAACTTGTGTGTGAAGGTTTATAGCAACATTCAAAATAGACAAAAGTAGAAACAACTCAAATCTCCACCAGTTGGTGCATGGACAAACAAAAGGTGTTATATCTATATAATGAAATATTTTATAGCACCATAAAAGGAAATGTTTTGATAATGTGCTACAACATGAAAAAAAACCTTGAAGACGTTACACTAAGTTGAATTTTATAGTATATTAGACTATACCTCAGTTATACCTCAGTTAGAGAAGAGATATCCAAAACAATTCTGAGCTGACTTGGCATTGTTGAAATAAGTGTGTATTCCATGAGAGAAAAAAATCCTCATTTGAATATCTTTAGTTTGTTGCAGTTGTAAATGATTGATTTCCCTACGATTGGCATGGTCTTGGAAGACTATCAATTGTTAAAGTAACACAGGGCCAAGCATTTTATTATTCTACTTTTCACAGATGCTATCAGGTCGAGATCATCTTTGTGTTAAAGGTGAGAAAAGCCAAGGTTCAGAGAGGTTAAGTAACTTGTCCAAGGTTTCACAGCCCAGCAGTGCTGGGGTAGTATTTGAACCATGTCTGTGAAAGCCATCATGTACCTCCTTATCCTTCATTGCCTGTTTTATTGCCTGTCTTAACTTGGCAGAGGTTGGTTTTTCATCTGGAGCATCATGATCTGGGTGATAACCACCCTCTGCCGGTGTGGCAAGTTGATTTCATCTACCCCACCAGAGGAAGCATCGTCCAGATTAATTTACTCTGCTAATGGTTGGTGTCTACCCCATCTTCTGTGTTCTTTAGTTAGTAATTGTTCTTTCTGCATCCAGGGTGTGTTTATGTCCTGGCTTTATTGACTTGAAAGAAGCCGACTTGATGTTTGAACAGCTTTGTTGGGATGTTCCCTGGAAACAGAGGACCGGCATCAGAGACGGTAAGTGGATATCTTGAGATCACAGTTGTTGATGTTTGGCCCTCCTTTCCAGATTGTTTTCCAGTACCCTTGCTTCTTAGTATCGCAGGCAGACTTTCGTAGAGATTTTCAAAGCCTAACTGGAACCCTAAGGATAGGCAGGAATTCGCCAAAGGGGACAGGGAAGAGTGTTCCTCGCAGAAGAAACAGCACATGGTTCTCAGTGTATGGCAGAAGGTAGGCTTTCCAGGAAAGGAAGGAAGTTTGGTTTGACTGAGCTGTGGTTGACGTGCTTTTCTCCCTTAGTGCTTGATCACTATTCGTTACTTCAGATGGTGCCAGCTTCCCTCTTTCTTCATAGACGCTTCCAGAACTTGTTTTTTTTCTGATTCTGTTTGGCATATCTTCTTTTTATCATCTTTTTATTCTCACTCTAGTTTCACTAGAAATGAAACTAGCTTTAGCTAGTTTCCTTTAGCTTCAGCATTTGTATTATTCTCCTGAGCTTGTCAAGATTACCTAACTTGAAAAAAGAAAAAAAAGATTACCTGACTTGGAGCGGGTTCTACACAAGCAACAGTCCCTGCTGTACCAGAGGTGGTCACTGGGGGGCGGCGATGCTCTAGCATAGAATCTTTTTTTCTTGGCACATTGGGTGATTTTAAATTTTCTGTGGAGAAAGAGGCAAAGTATACTGGCATCACTTTTGCAACAGGCATCAGAAGGAGAGTCAGCTCTTTCAGGGCAGCCTTCTGATTCCCAGAAGTTTCTACAGCAGGGTTTTTGGTGACAGACTTGGCTTCAACTGCTGGCTCTTTCAAAGTGATTGTTTATTTTAGACAAATGATAGTTAAGTAATTTTCTGATTCTTAATTTTTCTGATCAAGAAAATAGAGCTAATAATAATACCTATCTTGCAAGGTTGTTGTGATAATTAAATGAGACAGTGCCTGATATGTACTTAACAGAATGCTTGGTACATAGTAAGCCTTCAGTGAATGTTAACTGCTTTTATTATTATTGTTATTGTTGTAGTGGTTGAAGTCAGTTGTAGGGAAAAATAACAGATCTGCGGGTAGCTCCTTCTCTAATTATAAAGTGGACATCAAAAACTTCTGAATAAAATTAACTATGTGCTATGGTGGGTCAGAACACCTTTTTCTTTATTTGGAATCAAAAGGGCTTAGATAGTGGTGGCACATGGGTGAACAGTTGGTTTTGTTTCCTGTATGGAGATTCATGCCACAATTTCCTACCTACAAGGGTTCGGACTCCATGTCCTGCATCTTAGACCCTCTCTAATGTGAATCCTTCTGTCCTGCGGTGTGACTCCTTCACTCTTGTTTGTGTCACCACTGACATAAATAGGTTAAACACATTCTCACCCCAGAACTTCACCCATACTGGGTCTGCCAATATACCTTCACTTGCCATCCTTTAAGCTGTCGCCATTCCACTCCTGATGGCCCGTGCCCTTTATGAAGGTGGAACCTTGGGTGGGAGCCCACCCTGCCTCTTCCTTTGTATTTCTCATAGCTCCTTATACATTACTAGGCAGGGTGTTGGCCCTCGGTAGGTACACCTAAAATAACATTGAACCCTTTCAAAGGCCCTGTATTTTCTTTCTTAGATGTAACTTATCAGCAGCCAAGACTTACAGCATGGTATGGAGAACTTCCTTACACTTATTCAAGAATCACTATGGAACCAAATCCTCACGTATGTTGGAATGTTGTTATTGGTATGGTTTTATAGACGGTATACTGTGACTGTCATGTACTGTAAAATAACAGTAAACGACCTTGCGGAGCTGCATGGTGGTTCCTGGTTCAAAAAACCCTCCGAGTTCCAACACTGAGTCTTTGTGCGTATCACCATTGATGTGCTTTTGATCCACAGATGAAGTCAGAGGATGAGAAAAAAAACTGGGACTAGAGTAAACTAGAACCAGACGCAAGGATTTCAGAGAAATGAATCATTTCTTTTCCTAATCTCCTGCTTCCCCAAGCTTTTCTGCCATAGCCCTTTGTGTATCTCCTGGTACATATTTGCTGTGGTTCCAAATCTTTACGACTGTCCAGTGAGGTCAGAATGTTTCTTTCCATGTCTCAGGCTCTTTTGCCATTTGTGAGAAAAATCTGTTGCTTTTCTTGTTGACTTTGTATTCATTCTGTGGCTGCAGTTCTCATACTTATCATTGCTTTGGCTTGTCTCTACTGCGTCCTGTGTTTTTAAAAATGTCCATGAAAGATAAAGAGATTCTAATATATAAATTAAGCTTATCCAGATGATGGAATTAAGATCCAAGAAATAGCTCTCTGTTTAGTCCCTGGAATCTTGCCTTTGGCAAATAATAATATGGTTTTTGTGTTTTTTTTTTTGAAGGAGACTTTGAAGAAAATGGAGTTTTTGCTTATGGCATTGGAATAAAGAGAAATGTGACATATTTAGAACTCCTAGTAATTTCTTATCATAAACTAGCATTTTACTAAAATGTTCAGGGGTCAAATATTGACTGAAGGGAACATGACTTTTTCACATGAAGAGATAGATGGGTGCTCTGGTTTCTAAGGCTGCATTTAGAATGTAACCCGGGGAAGTACAGAAAGACCCTTTATATCTGAAAAATATTGACTTGGAAACATGAAGACAGTTGAACTAGGGCAGTTCATCATAAACTGCTGGCCATGTTTCTGTCAGAATTAGTGTATCTTCTTATCAACAGTTACAGCAGAGAAGTTCAGGATTAAATAGCCTGTGGGAAAGAAGTTCTTTCATTCTAGCTAATCTTTCAGAACAGGATTTCTCAACCTTGGTATCACTGACATTTCAAGCACAATAATTCTTTGTTGTTAGGTTGTCATGTGCATTGTAGGATGTTTAGCAGCATCTGTGATTTCTGCCCCCTAGATGCCAGAGGCACCCCTTACCCAGGCAAGGCAACCAAAAATGACTCTGGATATTGCTAAACATCTGTTGGGGTTCCAAAATTGACCTTGCTTGAGAACCACTGCTTTAGGTTAAACATAAGACATGTAGGGTCTGCTGAGATAGACTGACCAATTATGCTTGGGGACATTTTGACAGCTCTTCAAAAGAATTGTTTGAATGACAACCCTTTTCTTATATCGTTAACTAATACGTGTTTATTATTGAAAATTTAGAAACTACAGATAAATACGAAGAATATTAAAATTTTGGATAACACTTCCATCTGATGTTTTGGTTTCAGTCTTTTTTTTCTTTTTAGGCAAATATATAAAGAGAATTTATTTTTATATAAAATCAGTTATTCATATACTACATTTAATTTTGCTATATTATTAACATATTCTATTATCATAAGATTGTCATATTAGAATTCTTTAATTTGAATTTGACTGGCTCATAACTTTGTATTTATTGCTAATAGATTTAATTTGTATACCATCTGGAACAAAATCAAAATAGACGTCCCTTTCTCAGATTTTTTAAGGGAAGATTCCCTAATGTGTATATATATGTTGGGGATATTAGTTTAATTTTAAAGTTGTTTTTACCTCAAGCTTAGTATTCCATAGCACAGGAGGAGGTTCAGTCATAGGTACTTAAACATCTTTTAGTCCTTCATTTGGCTGCACTGGGCTTTCATTGCGGCACGCAGGCTTTCTCTGGTTGCGACGTGCGGGCTTCTGTCATCGTGGAGCATGAGTGGGTGGCTTCTGGAGTGCTGGGGTCAGCAGCTGCTGCTTGCGGGCTCGCTAGTTGCCCTGCAGCATGTGGGATCTTATTCCCCAACCAGGGGTCAAACCTGTGTTCCCTCCACTGGAAGGTGGATTGTTAACCACTGGACCTCCAGGGAAGTCCCTTTTAGTCTTTTTTTCAAGCTGAATGTTATATGAATCCACTGTATGGAAATAAAAGAGTGCCCTCACTGACTGGCAGTCCCACCAGCTTGACTGCTCCTTTCTCCTCCTGTGGTCCCAGAGGCATCTCTGTGGCACCTGGGTGTCTGCAAAACACTGTTTGAAGTCCACCAAATAGGTCCTTGTACCTTCTCACACTCTTTTCCTCAAATGTCTTTTAAGGATAGAATGTCTTCACTGAACATTGAGATGACGCTGGGTTTTAATTTAGACTTTCAGTGCTACAGGATCTGTATATAGAGTATTGGTTGGAGAGTCTAAATTAATCCCCTAGTTCATTATTCCTTGTTTTCTCCTTTTCTACTTACTTCACCACCAAAAATAACCAATAAAAAAAATATATTCACTTAGAAACATAATGCAAACTTGGTGTTAGCTCAGTCCCTAAGCAAGTCAAGGAAGTGCTAATTAGTTTCTCAGTTACATTGCCGAAAAGCTATCATCCTCCTTTACGTTCTTGTGTTTCTTGTTAAGTGTATGATTCTAGCATCTGGTCTTTATCCCCACGAAGATAAGCTTCTTCTTGTTGTCGTTCAGTTGTGGCCGATTCTTTGCAACTGCATGGACTGCAGCATGCTAGGCTTCCTTGTCCCTCACCACCTCCCAGAGTTCACCCAAGTTCATGTCCATTGAATCAGTGATGCTGTCCAACCATCTCATCTTCTGCTGCCCTCTTCTCCTTTTGCCTTCTGTCTTTCCCAGTATCAAGCTTCCCAGGTAGTCCTAGTGGTAAAGAATGGCCTGCCAATGCAGGAGACTTAAGATACACAGGTTCAATCCCTGGGTTAGGAAGATGCCCTGTAGAAGGAAATGGCAACCCACTGTAGTATTCTTGCCTGAAGAATCCCATGGACAGAGGAGCTTGGTGGGCTACAGTTCATGGGGTCACAAAGAGAGCCAGGTACGACTTAGGGACTAAACTGTTACCTACAGCCCTTGAGAAAGAACTAAATATCCTTGCCCATGCTTAATGGCTTCCCCCGTATCAGGGTCTTTTCCAGTGAGTCAGCTGTTCACATCAGGTGGCCAAAATAATGTAGCTTCTGCTTCAGCATCCGTCCTTCCAGTGAGTATTCAGGTTTGATTTCCCTTAGAATTGACTGGTTTGATCTCCTTGCAGTCCAAGGGACTTTCAAGAATCTTCTCCAGCACCACAATTTGAAAGCATCAATTCTTCGGCATTCAGTCTTCTTTATGGTCCAACTTTCACATCCATATGTGACTACTGGAAAAACCATAGCTTTGACTGTACAGACCTTTGTCAGCAGAGTTAATACACTGTCTAGGTTTGTCATAGCCTTCCTTCCAAGAAGCAAGTGTCTTTCAGTTTCATGGTTGCAGTTACCATCTAGTGATTTTGGAGTCCAAGAAGAGAAAATCTGTCACTGCTTCCACTTTTTCTTCTATTTGCCATGAAGTGATGGGACCAGATGCCATGATCTTAGTTTTTTGAATGTTGAGTTTCAAGCCAGCTTTTTCACTCTCCTCTTTCACTTTCGTCAAGAGTCTCTTTAGTTCCTCTTTACCTTCTGCCATTAGAGAGATATCATCTACATATCTGAGGTTGTTAATATTTCTCCCAGCAATCTTGATTCCAGCTTGAGCTTCATCCAGCCCGGCATTTCACATGATGTGTTCTGCATGTAAGTTAAATAGACAGTGACAACATACAGCCTTGTCGTACTCCTTTCCCAATTTCAAAGCAGGCAGTTGTTCCATGTAAGGTTCTAACTGTTACTCCTTGACCCACATACAGGTTAAAGATAGCTTAAAGCCATAAAATAAATAGGAAATACAGCTTGATAACATTATTATGGAATTTCACTCTTGAATGTAGGTTAGTTTAATAACATTTAATGACATTTAAATAACATTTAATGACTAAGTTTTGTTTGTTGTTATTGCAGTTTATTTTTTAAAATCATCTGCCTTAGAGGAGCTGAATAGATATTTTTCCAAAGAAGACATACAGATAGACAATGGTGGTGGTGTTGGTGGTTTAGTCGCTAAGTCGCGTCTGATTCTTGTGACCCCGTAGACTGTAGCCTGCCAGAATTCTCTGTCCATGGGATTCTCCAGGCAAGAATACTAGAGTGGGTTGCCATTTCCTTCTCCAGGACAAATGGACAATAGGCACATGATAAGATGCTCAGCATCACTAATTAGGGAAGTGCAAATCAAAACCGTAGTAAGATAACATCACCTCATATCTGCTGGAACGGCTGTTATCTAAAAGGCAAGAAATAACAAGTGCTGGTGAGGATATGGAGAAAAGAGAGTTGTCATTCCCTGTTAATGGGAATTTAACTGGTGCAGCCATTATGGAAATATCTCAAAAAATTAAAATATCATATGATCCAGCTATCCCACTTCTGGTTATTTATCCAAAGAATATGAAAACACTAATTTGAAAATACATGTGCACCCCTGTGTTCATCACAGCGTTATTCACAATAGCCAAGATATGGCAGCAACCTAAGTGCCCATCAACAGATGAATGGATAAAGAAGATGTGATGTGTGTGTGTGTATCTATATATGTTGTTGTTCAGTCACTAAATTTTGTCCAACTCTTTGCAACCCCATGGACTGCAGCACACCAGGCTTCCCTATCCTCCACTACCTCCCAGAGTTTGCTCAAGTTCATATCCATTGAGTTGGTGATGCTATCTTACCACCTCATCCCCTACCGCCCTCTTCTCCTTTTGCCTTCATTCTTTCCCAGCATCAGGGTCTTTTCCAATGAGTTGGCTCTTCAAATCAGGTGGCCAAAATATTGGAGCTTCAGCTTTAGCATCAGTCCTTTCAATGAATATTCAGGGCTGATCTCCTTTAGGATGGACTGGTTTGATCTTGCAGTCCAAGGGACTTTCCAGAGTCTTCTCCAGCACCACAATTTGAAAGCATCAATTGTTTGGTGCTCAACCTTCTTCATGGTCCAACTCTCTTATATTTATAAATGGACTACTACTCAGCCATTTAAAAGAAGATGAAATCTTACCTTTTGTGAGACCATGGATGGACTTTGAGGATATTATGTTAAGTAAGTCAGGTGAAGAGGGACAGATTCTGTATGATTTTATTAATGTGTGGAATATAAAAAAATCAATAAATAAATGAACAAACCAAACATGTAGGTACAAGGAGCACAGTAGTGGTTACCAAAGGGGAAGGGACAGAATGGAGGGCACAGCAGAGGAAGGAGGTCAACTGTGTGGTGACGGATGGAAACTGAATTTTTCGTAGAGGTGAACATGCTGTATGGTTGGAGAAGGAAATGGCAACCCACTCCAGTATCCTTGCATGGAGAATCCCATGGACAGAGAAGCCTGGTGGGCTACAGTCCATGGGGTCACAAAGAGTCGGACACTACTGAGTGACTGAGCACACACGCATGTGCATGGTGGAAATATGATGTTATAAACCAGTGTCACATCAGTAACATAAACAGAATCCTCTGCTAAGAATGTAATGCCACATCCGAAACAAGGCCAGCTTTTAACACGATTTCCACGAGACAGTGAAGCTGATTCCCGCATGGAAGTTTTTCCTGATAATAGTCATGGTATATACCTAAGAATGATATTATGCTTTCCTTTGCTGAGCATACATTTCTTCACTTCCAGACATAGAACATGGACTCTGAAGGGGTTCTCTAAAGTGGCAGTTCTTTTTTTTTTTTAATAATTTTTAAAATTTATTCATTTTTGGTTGTGCTGGGTCTGTGTTGCTGCGCAGGCTTTCTAGTTGCAGAGAGAGTGGGGGCCTGTCTCTAGTTGCGGTGCACAGGCTTCTCATTGTGGCGGCTTCTCCTTGCAGAGCTCAGCTCTGGGGTGCATGGGCTTCAGTAGTTGTGGCAGTTGGGCTCAGCAGTTGCAGCTCCTGGGCTTTAGCGCACAGGCTCAGTAGTTTGTGGCACATGGGCCTAGCTGTTCTGCAGCCTGTGGGATCGTCCTGGACCAGGGGTTGAACCCACATCCCCTACATTTGCAGGCAGATTCTTGACCACTGAGCCACCAGGGAAACCTGAGTGGCAGTCCTTAAAGTAGAATCTGTGGATCCCTGGAGGAAGTCCATGAAATTCTTTCTGGGAATCCACAGGGTCAAAATTAATTTTATGAGATTACTAAGACTAGGTGACATTTTTCACTGTGTTGAGTTTGCACTAGACAAAAACAATGGTGACTAAAATTGTTGGTGCCTTAGTATGAATCAAGGCATCACCACCGAACTGTACTAGTAATCATTGTTTTCTTTACCACATGCACTTCCAGTAAAAAAAAAAAAAATGATGGTTTCATTCAAGGGTGTCCTTTGATGAAGCCATAAGCATTATTAGTTTTATTAAATCTTGATCTTTTAAAATTGTTTCATGAAATAGAAAGTGTGTATAAGGCATTCCTGCTCCAAATGATTTATGATGGTTGTGTGATTGTTTAAGGTATAAGCTGAACTAGCTGCTTTTATCCTGGACCATTTTACTTGGAAGAGCCACTGGCACACACACTATTTAGACTTGAGAACTCAGCAGACATTTTCTCATAAGTAAATGAAGTGTCACTTCTAGGAAGACAATGGACAGGATTTAATAAAAGTGTGATACTGATGAAAGTTGAGGTTTCAAGGAAATGTTAGGAATTCTGGAAAAACTCATATCCTTCACCTTGAGCCTGACCTCTTCCCATTACTTAGCTTTTTCTGAAGAGATCAGTGGCAATATTAATGGAGGTGATTTTTTTTTATGGTATATAATGAAACATGTCAGTAGTAAGAGGGTCTGCATAACTCAGTGAGCCAGTATTTTCCAAATCACCAGTGCTTGATGTTACAGAATCATGCAAGATTAAAAGATTCATTCAAAGTGTAAGTTGGACCAATAGATTTAGATGTAATAATATAAAAAGTGTGTTGATGTAGTTTCAGATTCCACATTGCCTTTAACCTTTAAGAAATCAGTACAGTTGAGTTTTGGTGTAATAGCAAAGAATAGCTTCAGTTATTTGAAAAGGCTTTTTCTTCCTTTTTCCAACTACATCTCTGTGTGAAGGCAGTTTTCTTTGTATGTGTCAACAAAAACATTTTAAACAGATTGAATGCAGAAGCAGATATTAGAACCAACTCTCTTCTGTTAAACATTGAAGAGATTTGCAAAACAGTGCCACTCTTCTCACTAATTTTTTTGTATTGGAAAAAAGCTACTACTTGGTTTAGCATATAATGGAGTTGTTATTTTTTAAATGAATTAACCAAACATTAAAATTTTTTTAGTTTTAATTTTTAATATGGTAGCTATCATAGAAGTTCTTTGGGGTCCTCAGTAATTTTTTTTGTCTGTGCTGAATAGCTTTCAGCATCTTAGTTCCCCAACCAAGGGTTGAACCCAGGCCCTCAGTAGTGAACGTGCTGAGTCCTAACCTCTGGACCGCCAGGGAGTTGCCTCCTCAATCAACTTTGGTAGTGGAGCGAGAAACCCTGTCCTACAGGAAGCTTCTGTAAAGCACTTGAGGTTTCTTGGGAGGCAAAACGTACAGAACTCTAACCAGAACCATAAGAGCTACGCTGTAGCTCCCTAGTACAACCTAAGTTTGCTAAAGCACGTATGGCGAGATGGTGAGTTCTGAATATAAACTACGAATGTGAACTCGGTGCTCAGGAGGCAGGGCTGTGGGCTGTTTAAATCTTTTGTAGTTCACAGACATTTCATGACTCCATTCTGTAGAATGTTTTTCCCCTCTGGGTTCTGGTCTTAGGAAGTTTGCCACTCTGGAAATATTAGATATCCTTTTCAAAGAGCAATTTTGCCATTTGTGATAAAATGGGAACTGCATCCTGGTGGGTCAGACGGTAAAGAATCCGCCTGCAATGTGGGAGACCTGGGTTTGATCCCTGGGTCTGGAAGATCCCCTGGAAGAGGGCATGGCAACCCACTCCAATATTCTTGCCTGGAGAAGTGCCCATGGACAGAGGAGCCTGGTGGGCTACAGGCCCTGGGGTCGCAAAGAGTCATACATGACTGAGTGAGCATAATACAGTACAGCACAGTACAGAAATGGAACAGAGGGCCCCCCCGAAGAAGAGCTGTTTCACCCTCAAACTGCAGTCTGCCAACTCCTGACGGCCCATCAGCCGTGGTGACAAAGCAAGCTTCCTGCTCCACATGCCACCCCCATGCCTTACTGAGACGACCGCCCAGTGTACTGACAGTTACTTCTTGGGAGGGTCATATATTTAACATGGAGAGGATGAGATGGGAGGGTAGGTCTGGTCTTCATGACATCGCTACACCAAATTTAGCACCTTAATAAAATTGCAGAGGCCAGCTTGCTTCAGAATAGACATAACGGGCGAGAATGCACCTTCTCTTCTGGCGTTACGCTTATTATGTTTCAGATGGTTTGCTTATTCCAAGCCCCTGTTTATAGCATGACTGACTTTGCACTTCCTGTTTTCCCTGTGACTGCCACCTTGTTCTCATGTGAGCTGTCTCTGCCCCTTCTCTTGACCTGTTGACTGCAGTGGCATCCCGTGCTGCTCATGCTGAAGAACCAAGTTGAAGAGAACAGCGGCCACACCTTCAACTCCTTGCTCTGCAATCTGTACCGGAGCGAGAAGGACAGCGTGGACTGGCACAGTGATGATGAGCCTTCACTGGGGAGGTGCCCCGTCATTGCTTCTCTCAGTTTTGGCGCCACGCGTGTGTTTGAGATGAGAAGGAAGCCCCCACCAGTGAGTAGTCTGTTTATTTTATGTTCCTCCTGCCATATAATAATCTGTGGAAAAAAAACTGGGCTCCTAAAAGGCTCCTACTTTCAGATTTAGGAGATTGGAGTGTGTGTTTGGTTGATGAAATGTTTTCAACTGATGGCTTATATCCTGTGGATAACTTTTGACTTCCACAGAAGCCATTTGTTCATTTCTGCAACAGAAATTGCCCGCTGTGTGCCAGGTGTTAAAGGCTTATTTCCATTGGTGGAAAGGACAGACACGGTCCCCATCCTCATGGAAATGGGGGTAGACAGACATGACTCATTACTCAAGTAACTGGATTTACGATAAATGCTATGAAGGAGGGCTCACAAAGGGATGACTCGAGTGAGTAGGGGCAAGAAGGGAAAGGAAGGAGGCTCAGGGAAGATGCCCTTCTTCAGGAGCCTTTAAGTAAGTGTCCTTCATGGCAGTGTTGCCTGTCTTCTTTGAAAAGAAGTACCACAGGCATCCCCCTTCCTTCTTAGCCAGTTCCTGAAGTCCAGTTGGATGGTACTCCTTCAGAGAGGAAGTTCCAGCCAGCTGACCAGACAAGCAGTGACTAAAGTGTAGAATAACTTCAGTTGTCCAGCCCAGCTCTTACTATATATTATAAAACACTGGAGGAGTATGAGGGCTCTGTGTGTGTGTGGTCTTTTTTAAATCAACAAGTGTAGAACTTTAGGACTAAGGTAGATAGAAAGGTAGTAGGAACTCTAAGAAAAGAACAAACCTCTACCAAATTATCTTATTTCCAGCATTTGCGTGTGGGTGTATTTTTTAAACCAAGGCTCCCGATCATTTAGCTTATAACATTAAACCAGACGCAGTCAGCGTGGACAGCCTACAGGGCGGTGTTTTGAGCATGACCTAATCCAGACCACATAATTATCAGGCAGTCAGTGCTTATGTCTGTTCTTCATCAGATATACTTCTTGGGCTGTTTTCCAGACATGTATTTGGGTTTCCAAACATGGTATTTTGAAGCATATTGTGTTGTTTTGCACTTACTCCATTAAGCACCTTTCCTTGGCATATCTTCTATTGACAGGGCTGTATTTGCTCTTGTTTACACAGAAGCTTTGGTCTGTGTTGGCGGGGTGGGGGTGTGGTCAGTTGCCAGTGACTTCCTGCGTGAACTTGCTCCCCGAGCACTCTGACTAGCCTTCACTGTTTCAGTGTACGAGGGAGACCCGCCTAAGAAGCAGGCTCCCAACCGTTGCCATGTTCCTTTCAGGTACAGTTAGCTTTTATATGTAGACTTCCACTTGGTTAAATCCTACGTTTGCACGTGTGAGGAGTTCATCCTCCCCTTCGTAAGTCTTCTGTTGTGTGGATGGCAGAGAAACACCATGTGTCTTATTTTAAAGTTCAGACCCTCAAGCCAGACGTGCGGAACACCACCTTTTTGCCAGGCCTAGTCTTGGGAGCTGGGCTTATAACCATGAGTAAGTGAGATGAAGTCATCCTTCCCCTCCTGGAGCTGATGATCTGGCCCCTGTTAGTGCTCTGTCTCCCTTCCAGGGTTATCCTTCCAGCTTTCTGAGTGGACAGCAAACTCTGGTGGATCCAGGATAATCTTTGGTGTAAGCTGAGTCTCTGGTTCTTTGCAGTTACTTTCCTTGTTGCCAAGTGTTTAAGTATTCAGTTATCGCTTTTCTCTACACGTACATTCGCCACCACCACCATCACCCTTTTTAAAAAACATTTTTTTGCCTATTTCCAGATTTTAAGGTTAAGAATTCCCAAAGCATGCTTTGTAGGATAATTAGTTTTACTGTACAAGCAATTTCCAACTGTTAAGCATTAGTCATTGAAAGGACTGATGTTGAAGCTGAAACTCCAATACTTTGGCCACCTGATGCAAAGAGCTGACTCATTTGAAAAGACCCTGATGCTAGGAAAGATTGAAGGCAGGAGGAGAAGGGGACGACAGAGGATGAGATGGTTGGATGGCATCACTGACTCAATGGACATGAGTTTGAGCAAGTTCTGGGAGTTGATGATGGACAGGGTAGCCTGGCGTGCTGCAATCCATGGGGTCACAAAGAGTCAGACACGACTGAGCGACTGAACTGAACTGAAGAATTAACAGTGTTCTGGTACCCAGAATACCTCTATTTTTTTCCCTCTAGGCAGCTGAAGGTCTTCATATTCTCATATGAGAACATATTCATGGTGATCAACAATTATTTCTTGGAAATACAATTCAGTTATGTTATAGGTTAATGGGTGGATAGAAAATGTAACTGCCACATAGCATTGTGTCTGAGGGCAACCAATTGGAACGAAATCTCTTAAGAGGGACACTGACCACACTTACTGAAACTTTGTCTTCTCAAGGCTTCTTAGAGTCTATTTTGATGAACAAGAGTGAAAGCACAGGCCGTGAAACACTGAAAATGTGGTTAAGTCCCTTTAATTGTCTGCCAATAGCAGGGGAATTTGCACTATAACTTAGTAGCTGATTTGATGAAAAAAACCTATCTGATAAGTAAGAAAATTTGTCTAAGATCTTGAAACAGAGTTGGCTAAGGAAACAGATATAGGAAGAAATACAAATGTGTCAGTATATCAAGTTACTGATTATAAGTTTTGCTTCTGGCATAGTCTTAACTGATTGAATTTGATGCAGTTGTATATTCCTTCAATTCTGACTTCTGTTTAAGATGGGGAAATTGAAGGTTAATATATTTGAAATTATAATCATGAGTTAGTGAATACAGTTTTAAAATTACTTCCCGGCCCCATTAACCTATAAACTCCATTCTTGGATAAACAAAACCCAGGTTTAAACTTTTGGAAAAAATTCTTCAAGTTTCTTTAACAGATTTAAAAAATCTTGGGCTCCACAAATCTAGCTGAACTTGAAGTATAGAAGCCTTTCTCTGAGTTGACATCCCTGGGAATGTATCTTAGAGTACATCATCTTTATCTTAGAATAATAATCCCTTTTCCAAAGGATTGAAAGGAAAATGGTTATTGCAGATCTGTCTACTTTTCTTCCTTAACTATGGTGATAGCTTTGAGAACATGACTCATGATTCATATAACTCAAGGCAAAAGCATAAAATAAAAAATGTAATTCTGGTTAGTCCTCTGTGTGGAATTTGTAGGAGTCTGACTTTCTGTAGCTCCTAGGAACCTGTCCCGCTATGCCACTAAATATTGTAATTTTCATGTCTGTCAACAAGACATTTGGAGTGTGCTAGAGATTGTGGGAGGGCATCTTTTTCAAAATCCAGTTAGTTTTAACCAATCTGAGGAGAAGAAGGTAATACCTGTTTGACTTGAGTCAAAGTTTCTCATCTAAAGCTGACAGAGAGGAATCATGAGATTTCCTGTGTTTGATTAAGTATGTAGATTTGAGACAGTTTGGGGCCACTTTCAAAAAGAATTAGCCTTTTTTTTTTTCACATTCAAACTCCCCCACCCCTGCAGCAGCTGTTTGTTTTGCAGTCTGGCACCTTAAGTAGTTCTCTGTAGCTGCTGATCTTCTGAAGGCTGCCCCAGTCGCACACATTGCATCCCTAACAATTTCTCGCTGTGCTGAGATGGTAAGGAGATCTTTGTTTCCCTCAGCACCAGTGTCCCTCTGATTCATGCAGTTGGCTCAGCCGGCTTTGCGCATGCATCATCCCTAGGATTAAACATTCACTCCTCCAAGATGCCAATCCTTGATCCTCATCTCCCTGTCCAAGTCTGTCAACTTCTGCTTATTTGTTTTGATTTTATAGTCAATTACCACTTCCTTTAATGATAATAAGCTACTTGGAGACATAGTAGTCTTTCCTTCATTCACCCATCCCTTCTTTTGTTAATTCAGTTAAACGTGAGTGAACAACATTGTATCTATCTTCTGGCCAACATCAGAATAGACTGTCTTAAGACAAAGCTTACCAACTATGCCTCTGTAGACTTTTTTTTAAAGAAACCAAGAACCTCTTTTATTCTCCCAAGGTGGGCTCATTAAAGCTTTTCTATGCTTGTGTCCCAAACCCAGTTGTACTTTTCAGACTGCGTTGTGTCCCTGTTATAAAGATTAGTCTGGTTCTTTTCCCAGTATAGCTTTAATTCTATACTGAAAAACAAGCTGGAAAAGGAAGTACAAAAGCCATTTGGCAGGCTGCTATTTCTCTGTCGGTTACCATAGAAACAGTGATGGCTGAGTTGGGGAGGGGGGTGAGTATTAGATAATAGGAAGTTTGTGATGCACTGGAGGTTTAGATGCCAAAAGCCTTGTTTTCTAGAAAATTACCCATGCATAAGCACTGTCCGTTATCAGCTGAATCTTGAAAATGTGAGGGGCTTCTATCTACCTCAAGATGATTGAGTTGAGGCAAGTTGGGAAATTTCTCCAACCATTCCTTTCTCTAGCACCTTCTGAAGAATGAGAACTCTGTTCATAATACCAAAAGAGATGTTTATAAAACCACTTGTAATGGGAGAGGTTGAGAGTTCCCAGTACATTCGAGTTCTTAGTACCTCCCTGTTTACACACTGTTGGGAAGAATGGAATATAAAAAAGTCACTTTGATCATAAATATCAATATTTTCCCCAGGGTTTTAGAAGAATTGAGGATATTGGAATCCAAAATAATATAAGCTGACTAGCTTAAATTTGAAAATTGGGTAAACTAGACTGTGCAGTGTTTCGTGGAGTGGCGACCGGACCGCCACCTCAGCCCCCACACCCACTACTGCTCTTCCAGGCATCCATACTTCTTAGTCCGTCTTCTGATTACTGCATCTGTCCTGAGAAATTACAAGAACTACTCAAAAGGAACTGTTGATAACCATCATCTTTTTAATACAGTCCCTAATGAAATTTAAAATATCAGGTTTTGTTTCCTGTTTCTGTTATGATGCCTGTAAAAAGCACTTATCTGCTTCATTTATACTCATTCCATTTTTGTAAATGGGGATGATAATTGGTAGCAACTTTATGGAAGTAATAGGAAAGTTTTCCCATGAAAGGCACT